GATAAAGGCTCACCGTCCTGTAAAAGGACAGTAGAGCCCAGACTAGACCACCAGTGTAACTGCAGCCCGAAGAGAAAGGGAACAGAACCCCGTCAGGAACACTGCGGTGACAGGTGTGGGACTGGTCGGGTATATAGTATATGTGTTACGAGACCCCATTGGTAACTGCCCCCTTCAAAGGGATAATAACATGTTGCACTTTCTTTTCCGTAACGGGTTTGATGCTGCCTGAGTCAAGTGTATAAATATATATCAACAAACGAATGTATATATTTTGTTTTAAAAAGAACTCTTAAGATTCGCGATACAACAACAACTTGCATTCATAGAGCGCCCTTCATGCAGGGTTCTTCAAATAAGTAAAAATAGTTTGGTCACTGTTTGTGGGACGCTGCTGTGCGCAATTGGCTGTCGCGTTTCGCCCATAAAATGTACAGTCAATTCACTTTACAGTATATTCTGTGAAGCGCTTTGAGGCGTCTCGAAGACGTGATAAGGTTCTGTATCAAATACAGGACTCCACAAGGTTGGGCATTCAAGCCCCACGATATTCAATCATATAACATAACATAACATAACATGTAGGAGCAAGAGTAGGGCATTCGGCCCTTCAAGCCTGTCCCGCCAGTCAATCATGGCTGATCTTTTAATCTAACTCCAGCTAATAACCTGACCCTACCTTATCCCCATATCCCTTAATCCCTTTTGCAATAAGAAATATATCTATCTCAGTCTTGAATATGTTCAAGGACAACAGCCCTTTGGGGTAACGAGTTCCATACATTCACCACCCTTTGAGTGAAGAAGTTCTTCCTCAACTCAGTGCGAAAAGGCTGCCTCTGATTTTAAGGTTGTGACCCCTGGTTTTACTTTCTCCAACTGTCTATCTACTCTATCATGCCTTTTGATGATCTTATAGGTTTCTATAAGATCCCCTCTAATTCTTCTATATTCTAGAGAGTATAGGCCCAAATTGGTCAGCCTATCCTCGTAACTCATCCCCTTCATCCCTGGTACTAACCTAATAAATCTACACTGCACCCCCTCCAAGGCAAGTACATCCTTCCTTAAATAAGGAGACCAAAACTGCACACAATATTCCAGGTGTGGTCTCACCAGGGCCCTATACAGTTGCAGCAAGACTTCCCTACTCTTATACTCTAATCCTTTCATAATGAATACTAACATACTGTTCGCCTTCTTAATTGCTGCTGCACCTGCAGACTAACTTTCTGTGATTGGTGTACAAGGACACCCAAGTCCCTCTGGACACTAACACATTCCAACCTTTCCCCTTCTAAAAAATAACCCGAACAGTGATAAGTTGTGACATTTCATCCATTTGCCAGCTTGACCAGTGCCTTCAAAACAATTATAATACTTACATTTGCTATATGTATACATTTGCTTTTACGTGAACGTCCCAAAATGGGACTGGATTTACAGGATTTCAAAATTTCACAGGATTTTACACAGACGTGAAGGATCTGTGTACCTTGTGGGAATGTGGCAGCCAATTTGCATTCATCAATGTCCCACAACCATGAAACAAATGACCAATTTTATTTGGAGATTTTTGTTTTGCTCAGACGGGTGTCTGACACACGCGGAAACCCATCACTGTGCTTAAGAGTATCCAAACCAAGCTGAGATTTCCACGCCTCCCACCTACACATGGAAATCCCAGAGAGAGATTGTTGGAATGGAATGCGCACTCTCTCCCTGGAGGGACGCATCTTGTTTACCTAATTCTTAGGCGCAGGTTGGCAAGAGCCAAGGCTTGGGGACCCCAGATCGTGCCTTGGAGTAACTCCTGGAGTCTAACCAACTAAAAACACATAGCTTGACATTGTCTGGCAAGCTTTCTTGCTGCTTGTTCAACTAGGACCACCCTACCCGTTAGGGCTTTGGCTGGCAGGGTTAACAGGAGCTGAGTGAGATGACTCTCTGCCCCCAGTGACTGGTCTGCCCTTCCAGGTCCTGCTGATGAGCCGGGCCGGGCTGTGCTGTCATCAGCAGTGCCCTGGAATACTGCAGACCCGCCCGGCTCAGGAACCGGATTGGAGACCGTCACAGAGGGTGGGCTTGAGTCTGACATCCCATTGCCAACCCTTCTAGACGCTCCAAAATGCAACTAAATCTGAAATATCTCTCCACCAGTTTGTGAGCTGAACCAACAACCTCCCACACTGACCCCTACTGTACATGTTAGGTACTGTGCAAAGCTGATCACCGTGTCTGCGAGCAAATGAAATACAGCCATTGATAATAAAAACAGAAGTGTCTCCTCAGAGATGAACCGGCTCCAAGGTGACATGCCTGGCAAACGAAAGTCGGACTCGAGCCGGCCCTCTGTGATGGTCTCTAGTCCGGTTCCTGAGCCGGGCGGGTCCACAGTATTCGGGGCACTGCTGATGACAGCACAGCCCGGCCTGGCTCAATGGCAGGACCTAGAAGGGCAGACCAGCCACTGGGGGCAGGGAGTCATCTTACTCAGCTCCTGGTAACCCTGTAAGCCAAAGCCCTAATGGATAGGGTGGTCCTAGCTGGACAAGCAGCGGGAATTTCAATGGCAAGCTGTGCAGTTTTAGCTGGTTAGACTCCAGCAGTTACCCCAATGCACCCTCTGGGGTTGCCAACTTGCACCTAATACTTTCCAGAATTAGGTAATTAAAACAGTTTGCGTCCCTCCAAGGTGAGAGTGCGCATTCCACTCCCAACAAACCATCCCTGGGATTTCCATGTGTAGGTGGGATTCATCGAATTCTCAGTTTGGTTTGGTTTGGATACTGTTAAGTACGGTGATGGGTTTCAGCATGTGTCAGACACCCGGCTGAGCAACAAAAATAATCTTTATGTCAGATGAGACGTGAAGCGAGGAGGGTTCAGGCAGGCGTTATAAATCTCACACGCTGTTCGGAGTTTCTCCAGATGTCCTGACCAACAACATATACCGAGAAATTGGTCATTTACGTCAGGACTGTTTGTGGGACACTGTATGCAAATTTGGCTTCCGCGTTTGCCTATAAATAATCCTCCCGTTGACAGCAGTTACCTGAGCAGAGCTTTGCATGTTTCACACGTCAAGTTGCTGTATCAAACGCAGGGTTGTGAGACGTATAAATATAGTGCTACCATTTGTTTCAAAAACAATTCCTCTGGTTTCTGCTATTTTTAGCCTCTCACTTGCTTTCAAATCCCTTCATCCCCTCGCACCTCCCTACCTATCTGATCTATTTACCACCCACCACCTCCGCTCATCTGACTCCAGCCTTCTGTTTGTCCCTCATCCCCTCCGCTCCACCATTAAGCCACTATGCCCCAAAACTCTGGAAATCTCTCCCTCGGTCCCTCCACCTTGCCTTCTCCCTCCCCTACCTTCAAATCCTGCCTCAAGACCTTTTTCGATCATGTTTACGGTCACCTCGCCCATCCCTCTCCCCCTGGCTCGGTGTCAGACTCCCATCACCACCAAGTGCTCTGGGACACTACCCCATGTGAAGGGTGCTATAACAAATGCAAGTTGTTTTTAGTCCATTTATTTACTGACATTCGGGGAGATTTGCCCCACTGCCAAGTCAAAGCCATCCTCAGCTGGAGGGAATAATGTGGGCTCAGTCTCACTGACCTCATCCTCAGAGCTGGTGCTGGGGACCACACACTAATACCACACACTGGGGCCTTGCGGACTCCCTTGGCAGACGAACTTGTTTGTGTGTAAGATTCAGGTTACCCCCAAACATACTCAGCTCTGAGCGTCAGCACCAAATCCAGTGCAGGATGCGATTCTACAGGGACATGGTCCCAGAATATAACTCAACACTAAATGTCTTGTCCCACAGCGGAAGCTCCAGCAGCACTTCACAAAGACAACGGAAATCTCTGAGAAGATTGGAAAGAGGTTTCCACGAGATAAGGGCTATCATGGCTTTCACTTTACAACTGATTGGGCTGTTGCTGTGGGACATTGGTGTGCGCAGATTGTCTGCCCGCGGGGAATAGCATCTCTCCCAGGTGCGAAGCGGGGCAGGGTTCTGGAGGGACATGTGAGGCTGGCAACTCCTGGCAACAGGTACATGGCAGCACAGAGCTGGATGTCAGATCCTGGGAATCGAAAAACCGACCCCAAACCCAGCCCAACGTGTAGCTTCATGGTTGACTGAGTTGTATTTGGCCCGGGGCGAGTTTCATGCTCATTTAGGTGTGTTGGCCCAGCTGACGGAGGGATGTCAGCGATTGGGAATGGAACAATTTCCCATTCCGGGCTTCCAGTGTCAGGAAAATCTCAGCTCAGCTACAGCAGGGTTTAAGAGACAGATAAGAACCCATCCAATGGGAGTGAATAGAAAGCGGTTCATGAGGACCTTTGTCTCAGATGCACAGATACTAAGTAAGAACTGAGGACTGCTGCGAGATCACATGGAGGGGATTTTAAAAAGTGAAAGTCAGAACGAATTACAAGCAAAGTTCTTCAAGAATCAATAGCAAAAAAAATTCAACAATATTAAACAGAAATGTGGAGTCTTGTAGCGCAGTGGTTTGCACACACGCAAGCAAGAGGGCCAGGGTTTGATTCCCGGGCTGGGCAAGTTTACTTACTCCACAATGTTTACCTATCAGTAAGTAGGAACCCGGTTGTTAATGGATTGGCGGATCGCTTTCCGGGGGTAGTAATCCCTCCAAAAAAAAGTTGTGGTCACTCAACCACGACTGTTTGTGGGACACTGCTGTGTGCAATTCGCTGCTGTGTTTTGCCCACAAAATATAATCAATTCACTTTACAGTATATTCTTTGAAGCATTTTGAGGCGGCTCAACAATGTGATAAGGCGATATATCAAATGCAAGGATTATTATATTATTAGGATTATTATTAAATGAGTTCCTTAGTGAACCCGTAAACAGCTTCAGAGCTGAGGAGATATGAGATTACAGATTGTGAAGGAAAATGGGCATCTTGTGTCTCTCAATCGCCTAACAAACACGGCACAGACTCTAGTAAATAACTTTTATTTGTAATTGAAACTCCACAAATAAATAAATTTCTATTTTAAAAGAAAATCTGCCAGTGTGAGCCCCTTCACTGTTCCCAGCCCGCAAATCCCGAAACACTGTGACTGGCTCGGGGGGGTCTGGCTCTTCAGTGAGACGCTGAGGTGTGAAGTGTGTTCAGCTCTGGTGGCAGATAATGTTCATCTGTTCACACTGCCCTCACCATACACCTTACGTTGCTCTCCCAGACTAACTAAACACCTTGGCCGATGCTGTGAGAGCTGAGCCCTGGCCGCCATGTGCAGAATCATGAGAATCAAGAGTACGAAGGACATTGATAGCCATGTTACACTGGAGCGGTTCAGAGGCCAGACTGATCAGACGTTTCTCTCGCTGCAGGTTAATGCTGCTCCCGGGGGGCACACAGCACGTGTTGAGGCCCCTGACTGGACAGGTTGCTGGTGTGGTCTGGACAGGTTTTGTGGCCCTGGTGAAACAATCACAGTCTGGGTTTGATCCGCATGGGCTTCCCTGGAAGAGAAGAACAAAGCTGTGAATTCTGAGCCGCTGCTCCTGTCCCTGTTCAGCTCCTCCTGAATTGGTCATGGTCTTCCACTGATTAACAGAGCCTACAACTCCTCCCGGAGACACACAGTGTCCCTCACTCGCATAGTGACCCTCACGCGCACCGTGACCCTCACGGGCACCGTGACCCTCACGGGCACCGTGACCCTCACGGGCACCGTGACCCTCACGGGCACCGTGACCCTCACGGCACCGTGACCCTCACGCGCACAGTGACCCTCACGCGCACAGTGACCCTCACGCGCACAGTGACCCTGTGTTACTCACACTGGGTTAGACATACACTGGGTTAGACACTAGTTTACAAACTGAAGTGATTTATCTTGCAGTCAGGATGCTGTACGGCACTAATACAATTTCTTAATGTGCAGAATACACAATCAATTATCCAGTTTTAATGGCCAATGTGTAAGAGCAGCATCGCTTTATCAGCCTGTTTGTGGCTGCAATGCTAATGAATTAAATTGAAGCTGTAATTAAAGCTGCTTAAAAAACTGCTGCTTCCGTACTTTCTGTTCTGCTTTGCTCTGCGCTGCAATGCTCTGCTCTGTGATGCGATTCTCTGATGCTCTGCGCTGTGATGCTCTGCGCTGTGATGCTCTGCGATGCTTTGCTCTGTTCTGCGCTGTGATGCTCTGCGCTGTGATGCTCTGCTCTGTGATGCTCTGTGCTCCTCTGCTCTGTGCTGCTCTGCTCTGTGCTGCTCTGCTGTGATTCTCTGCTCTGCTTGCCCTGTGTGACTCCTGGCCGCACTGGCACCCAGTGTCTCAGTGATTACAGCTCTACCATTGAAGCAGCACATCCCGTTCCCTCTGCACCTCTGAGCAGGGGAGGTACTGGAGGGAACAGGGGAGGTGAGGTGGTTACTGTCTGCCCACCTCACCCCCCCACCCACCCCCATTCCCCTGCTCAGTGCCCACCTCAGCGCTATGACACTCTGAGACCTGACTCTATGTGAAGGCGGGCTGTGAGTTGCTGGTAAATAAGAAGCCGTTCAGGCGAGATTGCTGTTGGTATTGCTGAGCTGGCTGATATCTGTGAGTGTCTCGGGACTGTCTCTCTCCTGGGCTGCCCGTTGGGAGGGAACGTGGTGTGTTATTGAGAAGGGAACCAGCTGTGGCAGTGATTCATAGTTTCTTAGCTAATTTATGTAAAAAAACAGTGGAGTCCATTTAACAGCTTTCTGCCCTTAATAAAACAACCAGACATCAGCCACGTGTATAGCAATCAGTGGTTTAGGATAATTGTCTGTATTTAACCCTCTCAGACTCCATGTCCTGGTCACAGCAGGCTGTCGGCTTCTAAACGTCTACACTGTGTGTTCTGTACACCAGTCTCTTGTTTACTGTAGAATCATAGAATATTACAGCACAGTAGGAGGCCATTCAGCCCATCAGGCTTGTGCCGGCTCTTTGGAAGAGCCACACAATCAGTCCCAATTCCCCACTCTCCTTGAAAAATTTTCCTTTTCAAGTACATATCCAATTCCCTTTTGAAAGTTCTTATTAAATCTGTTTCCACCAGCCTTTCAGGCAATGCATTCCAGGCCGTAACAACTCTCTGTAAGTAATATAATAGCTGAGTTTGCACAAAGCTCCAGTTCCTCAGCTCAAATCATCACCTTTCCTCTCTCCCCCCACATACAGCGCAGCCCTTCTTGATCACTTGTGCCCACAAAAAGGCTCTGCCATAGATAGAGGGAGAGGAGGAACAGAGTGATAAACTGATGGGTCAACAGAGAAAGAGAGAGTCAAACAAACAGACAGAAGCAAATACATTGAGGCACAGAGAGACAGAGGACAGCAGAGGTGGACAGCCAGGCACTGTCAGACAGGCAGGCAAACACAAACAGACACACATGGAGATGGATCGACAGAGACAGAAGGGAGATGGATCGACAGAGACAGAAGTGCAGGCAAACAGAGAGAGACTGACACAGATACACATAGGGATAGACAGAGGTGGAAGGCAGACAAACACAGACTTCCAATTCACCCACAAATCTGATATTGATGATAGTTTTCTTACACTGAGCCCCTTTTGAAACAATTAGTGTCACATTCCGCAGCCAGTAACAAACCAAGCTATCAGACTAACCCAGGGTCTCACTAAATATGAATCATTACTAAAGACCGGTTTGAGGTTTGTGGGCTGCGGCTGGGGCTCCCTCGCCCACCTCTGTCCCACAGAAACCTCAAATGAAAACATGTCTAAAGAGCCCAATCTGTTAATGTGAGGAGAAAACCAGTCATAAAAGGCATAAGGCAAAATACTGCGGATGCTGGAAATCATCTGAAATAAAAACAGAAGTTGCTGGGAACCCTCGAAAGATCATCGACCTGAAATGTTAACTCACTTTCCTCTCTCCATAGATGCTGCTTAACCAGCTGAGTATTCCTAGTTATAAAGGCAGCTTGTTTTGGGTGCATTTCAATTCAGGATCATAAAGCCAACAGCTAACTGTTCTCCTATCTGAGCTATTATCTGTCACAGACACAATGTGGCCACATCCAACAGCTATCAATTACCGGCAGCAATGTATTTTATGCTGTGCCACCTTATTACCTCTGCTCCAGCAATATGTCAAACCAATGCACTCAGCTGTGAAGTGTGCACCGTGATGATGTTAAGCAGATGTAGTGAACCTCTTGCATTGCGATTATGGCAATGAATTATGAGAGTAAAATGAGAGGGGCTGAGGGGGTCCCGATGCCTGTAGCTGCCGAGGTGAACTCTCGTAATAACCGCCTGAATGGGCACAGATCCGGCAAGTGTTTACAAAGGGTTTCAGTCAGAGCCACTGTGCTGCAGGCAGGACGAGGGCTGCCACTTACTGCTCGTATCTACTCGCCGCTTGACTCACACTCACTGATGCCTCTGTGCAGATGAAATAGCTGAACGTGGGGTAATTAAACTACCGCTCACACTAGCGGTAGGGGTGGGAGGAAAGCAGGGGTTGGGGGAGCAGGGGTGGGGGCAGAGCGGGGGTGGGGGCAGAGCGGGGGCGGGGGGAGAGGGGGCGGGGGAGAGCGGGGGCGGGGGGGAGAGCGGGGGCGGGGGGGAGAGCGGGGGCGGGGGGAGAGCGGGGGCGGGGGGCAGAGCGGGGGCGGGGGGCAGAGCGGGGGCGGGGGGCAGAGCGGGGGCGGGGGGCAGAGCGGGGGCGGGGGCAGAGCGGGGGGGGAGAGCGGGGGCGGGGGGAGAGCGGGGGCGGGGGAGAGCGGGGGCGGGGGGAGAGCGGGGCGGGGGGCAGAGCGGGGGCGGGGGGCAGAGCGGGGGCGGGGGGAGAGCGGGGGCGGGGGGAGAGCAGGGGACAAAAAACACCTTTGAGATGTGACAGGCCTGAAATTCATTATGTTCTTAGGCCTAAGACTTTCACCGTCAAATGTAAGATTTTGCTGACTTTTGAAACAGTGATAAATGTGGTGGCTTTGGGATCAGTAGTTTGTGTCAGTCGGGATTATAATATTTAATATGACTTGGGCAAAGTACGAGCTGCAGGCAAACTGTATCAATTGTCTAAAATCCAATTTAATCAATAATCTACACTGCGCTTGTGTAATTCACAGCAGCCGATAAGTGCGGGAGCAATGGAGGGTAGGGGGGTGATGTCACGAGTTAGTTGGTGATTAATATGAGCAGTGCAAAGAAACCTAAGTAGGTTTGATAGGAAACTGAATGAGACACGGGTGGATGTACGACTTAAGACGATTATACGATTTATAAAGATGAGACTTGTGTGAGTTTTACCGTATCAAATAAAGAACTGGGATCCCGATTGTAAAGCGAAGGCTGCTTTTCAAACCTTCCGCCAAACAACGGTCTCTGAGTTTGCAGACAATAGGTTTAAGTGTGAGGCACTGCAAGGCTTTGTACCCCTGGTGCGTGTGGCACGCAATCTCCCTGAGCTGCCAGCACACAGGGAGAGATGTTACTGTTTGTGTTTGTGGGCAGCTCATGGGACAATTGTATCGTCTGTTCTATTCCCTCGTGCGTGGGACACGATTCATTCACAACACATCACTTTGTGGCGTGTGTGCAGCAACTCGGGGAGCTCTCTACCCGGTGCGGTATAACAACAACAACAACAACAACAAAATTACATTTGTAAAGCGCCTTTCAGGTCGGGAGGATGACTGTAACTTAGTGGTTAGAGCACTCGCCCAGCAAGTGAGAGGACCTGAATTTGATTCCCAGGCCGGGTGAAACGTTAGGCAAGTCTTCTTACATGCCTCTGTTGACTCAGCAGTAAGTAGGAATTAGTAAGTAGGATTGTTAGTTGATTGGTGGACTGCTTTTCCAGGGAAATGAATTGCTTACTTTTTTTTAAATAAACGGGTCACTTAATCCACGACTGTTTGTGGGACGCTGCTGTGCGCAATTGGCTGCTGCGTTTCACCCACAAAATGTACAGTCAATTCACTTTACAGCATATGCTGTGAAGAACTTTGCCACATCTCGAAGACGTGATAAGGCGCTATATCAAATGCAAGGATTATTATTATTATCCCCCTTATTACGGAAGTCAACCGCTTTTCATTAACACAGTTTCACCACCTTTACTACAGAGCTCAAGAGTCACCTTTAATTGATGTGACAGAAGCACTTTTCCCACAATAGAACTAAAACAAATTTAAAAGAACAGGATTAAAATGCCTTTAAGTTGCTGACTATGTTGTATGCGTCTCCTCTTACACTATAATAATAATAATAATAATCCTTGCATTTGATATACCGCTTTTCACGTCGGGAGGACGTCCCAAAGCGCTTCTCAGAACACACTGTAAAGTGAATTGACTGTATATTTGTGGGCGAACGCGGCAGCCAATTGTGCACAGCAATGTCCCACAAACAGTCGTAGATTGAAAATGACCAATTTATTATTGTTTTTGGTTTTGGAGGGATTATTATTAGGCTCTGTGTGGAGTAAGGAAACTTGCCCAAGGTTTCGCCCTCTGCCTGGAATTGAACTCAGGTCTCTCACTTGCAAAGCGAGTGCTCTAACCACTGAGCTACAGGACTCCACTTTCTCTACCATTTATTTACTAATACCTCTAATGTCTATTGTAGCAGGGTCTTACAGTTGTAGGCTGTGAGCTCCCCCTCAGACAGTGCTGTAACCAGCTTCCGACGGAAGCCAACGGAACATGACTACAATGTAATCACTCTGCATGTGTAAATCTGAGCCCAGACTGGGCAGATCACACACACACACTGATCTACAACAACTTGCTTTTATATAGTACCCTTCACACTGGGTAGCGTCCCGGAGCGCTTAACAGTGGCGGAATCTGACCCTGAGCCAGGAGTAGAGGAAGGTGGGAGATGACCATAAACACGATCAAAAAGGAAGAGGCAGGATTTGAAAGTGGGGAGGGAGGGACAAGGTGGAGGGATTGAGGGAGAGATTTCCAGCTTCGGGGCGTAGTGACTGAAAGCACGGCCATCGATGGTAGAGTGGAGGGGAGGTGAAAGGCGCTCAATCTTCAGGGTTCTGTCCTTGAATGGTTCAGATCATACCTCTCACACGCCTTCACTTCATCTCCACAACAGGTTTCTCCTCTAGTCCCCGCATCATCTTGTGCGATGTTCCTTCGGGCTCTGTCCTTAGTCCTTTCCTCTTCAATATCTATATGCTCTCTATTGGTGACATCATCCACATGGGGTCAACTTCCACATGTATGCAGTTGACACCCAACGATACCTCTCTTCCTCCATCCTTGACTCCAGAACCACTGCTGTTTTGACAGAATGTCTGTCAGACATCAAGTCTTGGATGACAGCTAAATTTCTTCAGTTGACCGTCAACAAGACCGAGGCTCTCCTGATTGGCTCCCGTCAGTGCCTCCACACCTCAGGCGCTGACAGCATCACCATCCATGGTTGCACACTCCACCTTACTAAGCCAGTCCGGAATCTTGGCGTCTTCTTTGAGCCTCAACTGTCCTTTCTACCCCGCATCCATAACATGACCCGCTCTGCCTTCCCCCACCTCCGCAACATCGCCCGGCTCTGCCACTGTCTCACACCTCAGGCTGCCGAAACTCTCATACACGCATTCATAACATCCAAGCTTGACTATGCAAACTCCTTGCTTGTCAGTCTCCCCAGCTCCTTCCTCCATAGGTTGCAGATCAGCCAGAACTCTGCAGCCCGTGTCCTCTCCTGCACCCAGCTCCGTGACCCTATCAGCCCCATCCTCGCCCGACTCCACTGGCTTCCCATCACAGAGGATACAGTTCGAGATCCTAATCCTTCAAAAAGCCCTCCATGGCCTCGTTCTCTCCCTACCTCTGTGACCTCCTAACTCCCTACTATCCTGCTCACTCCCTCCGCTCGGGGGCTCCAGCCTGCTTTACGTTCCCCACCTTGCCTACCCCACCATTGGCGGGAGGGCCTTCTGCCTCCACCCTCTGGAACTCCATCCTGCAGTCCCTCCACCTCGCCCCCTTGTCTCCTTCAAGACCCATCTCAAGACCCTCCTCTTCGATCATGCTTTCAATCACCTTCCTTCCCCACGCCTGCCCTCCACCCTCCCCAATCCCAACCCGCAGCTCGTGTCCGAAACACTGACTGTCCAGCATCTTGGGAAGTCCTCCTAACATGAAAGGCGCTATACACATGTAATTTTGTTGTTGTGGTGGCAGGAGAAGAGGGTGGTAAGGAAGGCCTGGGGGCTGGTAGGCGACATGGGGTTGGGGGGGTGGGAGAAGGAGGAGGAGGCAGCCAGGCAGATGTTGTCGATTTGATGAGAAAAAAGTCCAGGACCTCTTTGCACTTGGCATCTGAGGTGAGGATCGGGATGTGGAGGAGGGAGTGGGTCACGCAGAAAAGGACTTTGGGGTTGTGTTTGGCCTCGAGGATGAGTTTAGAACAGAAAGCGGTTTTGGCGTGAGGGAGAGAGAGAGAGAGAGGTGGTTGGTGTGAAGTTGCTTGAGTCACAGTTGCCGGTGAACAGTGAGGCTGGTTTTGTGCCATCTGTGCTCGAGTGACCGGACTTGGGATTTGAAGGAGCGGAGGTGACTCTTGCACCAGGGGGAGAGGGTAGGCTTTGAGACGCACCTATGGTCTATGTGCTGCCTCTCATCACTGGCTCCTTTGTATTTTCTCAAAAAGAGAGCTGCAATGTTTTCATTCTTAACTTGTCACCGGTTTTAACTCAGAGCTTCAGAGCCTGTCAGTCCATCACGTCCCATCCCTGTCTATCTTGCCCACCCCTGTCTGCCCCACCCATCTGCTCTGACTCTGCCCATCACGTCTGCCCTGCTAAACCACTCAGACCCCATCCGCCTCATCTGACTTCCCCCCCACCGCCCCCACCCGGGACCTTGCTGCTGTCATCTCCTTGTCACAGTTCTTATTCTCCCTGGACAGCCCAGGTATAAGCCTCGTATCCCCAACGTGGATTTAGGAGAGAGACCAGCTTGCAGTTTGTACGATGGCTCCTCTCAAACTGCTGCTCTAGAGGCCTTGTTATGTAACGTGAGATGTTTCTCTATGCGAGAATACTGTCAAGCCTCCATGCCCTTCCCACAGCTTAAAAACTAATTGGTGACATTTGTGGATTCAGGAATCTTGCGGATGCTGGAGAATCAGAACCGTCACACTATTGTTTAAGAAGGGAGCGAGGGAAATCTCCAGCAGCTACAGTGTTTAACATCAGCCCCAGGAAACAGATTCCAATCCATTATCAGAGATAAAATCAGTGACTACTTGGTCATGAAGTGATGAGGCAGTCAGCATGCTCTGTGCTGACCGGTCTGAAATTTGTACTTTTTGTTTTATTCTCAAAATCTTTATTCAGTTTGTGGTTGACACACTGTGTGTCTGCGTGTGTGCTGTTCTCTGAGGTAATCACTAAAGTCCTAGCCGGGAGCAGTATTGCAAGTGATTCATATGGATTTTCCAAAGACATTTGTTAAACATCCACAGGAGATGATTGAAAATAATAAATAATAATTCTTGCATTTCATATAATCCTTGCATATCACATCTGCGAGACATCTCAAAGCGCTTCACAGAATATATTGTAAAGTGAATTGACTGTACATTTTATGGGCGAAACGTGGCAGCCAATTACACACAGTAGCGTCCCACAAACAGTCGTGGATTGAGTGACTAAATCACCATTTTTTTTGAGGGATTATTATCCTCAGAAAAGCGATCCACCAATTGACTAAAAACAGGGTTCCTACTCACTGCTAGGTAAACAGAGGCGTGTGGGAGGAAACTTGTCCAACGTTTCACCCTGCCCGGAATAGAACCCAGGTTTCTCGCTTGCGAGGCGAGAACTCTAACCACTGAGCTACAGGACTCCGCAATCATAGAATCATAGATTTCCACAAAGAAATCATAGAATATTACAGCACAGAAGGAGGGCATTCGGCCCATCGTGCCTGTGCTGGCTCTTTCGAAGAGCTACCCAATCAGCCTCACTCCCCCGCTCTTTCACCACATCAATGGTAGGTAATAAATACTCACCCAGGGCCTCCGCGGCACTTTGCCCCTCCAGTGGGCTGATCTCCTGCGAGGACACGGGCGAGTGCAGGGCGATGAACGCTGGCAGTCGCTGCTCTGTGCTGCTGGTGCCCAGCTCATTGGTGCTGGCAGAAGAGCCGGCTTCTATGCCCGAGGGCACTGCCTCGCCCTCCGCGAGTTCCCTGTCAAACAGTCAGAAGATTGGGCATGAGTCATGCAGCCCAGCAACCTGATCACAGAGGCCTCCCACACTGTTCACCACTGCTCACCACACTGCTCAATGATTGACATTGAGCACAGAGCAGAGCCTGGCTAGCGAAAGCTGACACTACACCACAATGGGGGAGCTGTTACCTACTGGCTATCAGAGTGGAGCAGGAAAGCCACTCAGACTGTGTGGAGCTGGGATATTACAACAAAAACAACAACTTGCATCTATACAGCGCCCTTCACATTTCGGAGCACTTAACAGTGCCAATGCTGAGCCAGAGGGAGGGGGAAGGTGACTGTAGGCCTTCTAGTGTGACCTGAAAATGGGGAGAGAAGGGGCAATGCGAAGGGACTGAGGGAGAGAGTTCCACAGCTTCAGGGCGTAGTGGCGGAAACATTGGTGGGGCGGAGGGTCCAAGGGGACAAGGAGGAGGCCGGAGCCAATCGAGCTAAGGCAGCAGGTAGTGATGAAGAGAGAGAGCAGGTTAGAGAGATAGGGGGATGCCAGGGGGTGAGGGGATTTAAATACAAGAGTGAGGATCTTGAAATCGATGCTCTGTGACAGGGAGCCAGTGGTCTTTGACAAGGACTGGGGTATTGGAGTTGCGGAGTTTAGTGCGGGTGAGAATGCAGGCAGTGGAGTTTTGAATTGGTTGAATTTTGTGAAGAGTGGAGCAGGGGACACCGGTGAGGAGGGTGTTACCTGTGGGTTTGGCCTGTAAGCCGGAGCTGGTTGGTACTGGCGCTGGTGCTCTCCCTCTCACTGTGTCTGTGCCGCCCGGCTGTGCGATGTCGGTGCTGGAGTTTACAAGTGGAGCCCTGAGCACAGCGGCCTGTCCTCGAGAACTCAGGGCACAGCAGTGTGTGCTTCTTCTTACACTGAGGGGCAAACAGACAAGTCAGACAGCAATACACACAGAAAGCAACTCACACATACGGCAACACACACACATGGCAACACACACAGAGCAACAACTGTGCACAAGTGTTTCAATTTATACAACTATAATTGTATTATTAGATAACAACTCATATATAACTGTGCATGACCATACCGACTCCAAGCCCCGAGCAAACAGTGTCCAGTGTGGCAAGCGGGTATTGAGCTGTCGCTGCGTGCGTCGCGTGCGCGTGTGTTTGGGGGGGTGGGGGGGTGCTGTGTGTTGTGTTTGTATGTGTGTGGGGGACTGTGTGTGTGTCTGTATGTGTGTGGGGGGCTGTGAGTGTGTGTGTAGGGGGGTGAATGTGTGTGTGGGGAGGGCTGTGTATGTATGGAGGCTGTGTGTGTGCGGGGAGGGCGAAAGGCTATGCGTGTGGGGGCTGTGTGTGTGGGGGGGTTTGTGTTTGTGTGTGTATATAAATAAATACGGGGGGTAAACTTTAAGCCTTCACAATACAACTGAACACTAATAACATCCAAACATTCAGAGCAACTCCGTCAAGAGTCAGAGCCAAACCAGAACCAATCAGTCTGACAGGCAGCTGCACCACAACAATCCATCACCGCACAGCAACTTCTTTGGAGGGGAGGCTGTTTTACTGGAGGCACAAATCCCCTCACTGCGCTCACAGGGTTAAACGTCCTTCCCTGTGGGTTGTTTGGTAGAATGAGAAAGGTGATGTCCCACGATGCTGGCAGATGAAGGAGAGAATCCCAGCTACTCCGGGTCCAGGAATCGCTCTCGTCAACGGCTTAAGCTGTCAGACTCTAGCCACTGCCTCACTCCACACCTCCCCCACGTACACTCAACTCCAGCACTCACTGTGGTAGGTGAAGTGCAGTCGAACCAAAATGTAATAAGCCTAGGATCCCATATGCTTTTTAACAGCTTTATTAAAAAGTCCTGCCACCTTCAAAGATTTGTGTGCGTGAGCCCTCAGGTCTCTCTGTTCCTGCACCTCCTTTAAAATTGAATAATTTAACTTATATTGCCTCTCCTCAATTCACCTCCAAAAATGCATCACTTCACACTTCTCTGCATTAAATTCCATCTGCCATGTGTATGTCCATTTCACCAGCCTGTCTATGTCCTCATGCCGTCTGCTACTATCTTCCTCACAGTTTTGTGTCATTTGCAATCTTTGCAATTTTGCTCTCTAGTCAAGCTCAGGCCTGACAGATGGCTGGCAGATGCCATCCTTTCATTCAGACATTAACGTGAGGTCCACTTCAGCCTGTGGTCAGGTTGGCACCGAGGGCAGTCACTCCTGGGTGCGATTGGAAAAGAGAAGGGAGTTCCTCTCTCTCTCCCCCGCTGTACCAGCTGACAATCGCCCACATCAGATTCCTACTCACTTCACAGCTGTTCGTGAGAAATTGCTGTGTAAAAAAAATAACAGCCAGGTTTGCCAGCAATAACATTCACCACCACCTGACAGCGATTCTGTCAGACTTGGAGACATTTGAAGTGATAAAGTCCTTCCTTTCACAGTGTGTGAGTGCTGGTGCATGGGGGAACTCTGAATTCGGAGCTTTCAGAGCTGTTCTTCGTTATATCAGCAGAAGATTACACAAGAACCAAAGGGAGTTTATCCAGTCTCCTCCCAGACATCAAGTCCTGGATGAAAGACAGCAGATAGAAAGAGGCTTGAGCCCGGCTGGAGTGGGAGACGTCAATCCAGCTAAGCTCAGTGCTTGACACAGGAGTTTAGTCTGCACAGAGCTACTAGATTGTTGGTAATGCATGTACAAATCTGGAAACATAACAGAGCCCTTAAAGAATGTATTACCATCCCAAACATTTAGTGGCTTCAAAAGAGGAATGTCACAGCACAGTCCAGCACCAGGTTAGATATTCTGCGGCTCATATCAAATTTCTCCCAGATCACTTCAACCCATAAAAAGTGATGGACACCTTCAGTAACTATAAATCTTTAGAGCAGTTGGATAGCCAGGGTTAAGCTTTAACATATCCACAGCACAGAACCAATTGCCAGTTACATTTCAAGTTAAAGGAAAATCATTCTGTGCTTCCATGCTTTGGGCATTGATAAAACACTGACTATTTATAGTGGCTCAGTGAAGGTTAGAGAGCAGACATTTCCACTCTTAAACAACCAAACTGCAACATGGAGAGAGGACCATATGTCAACAGCCAACATTGCCAGGCAATCTCACAGCCAGGCAATCCCACAGCCAGACATTCCCACAGCCAGACATCCTCCCGACATGAAAGGCGCTGTACCAAATGCAAGGATTATTATAACTCAGCTGCCAATCTAAGATGACACTCCAGTGCAGGGCTGGGGGGAGCAATGCCCTGCTTTGTCAGAGATGCTGCCCTTTGGCTCCAGCGCTTTGGGACATCCTCCCGACGTGAAAGGTACTGATATAAATGTGATTTTGTTGCTGTTAGTTGTTGTTGTTGAAAGTGTAAGGGGGCTGATAAGCAGGTCACAGCTTCAGGGCTGGGAAGACAATTTCAGGAAATGTTTCTTTACATCGAGGCTAATTAGCTGGTACAGCGTTAGCAGGAAACAGAGTTGAAGTCATTGAGGAAACAGCTGGCTGCTGCAATGGGAAACGAGCAGGACTGGGATTCTGCAAAGGGAAGGTCAACAGGCTGAACGGCCTTCTTCATCCGAATGCTGCTCCCGATTGCCACCCTTACAGTCAAGGCAGGGAAGAATAAACAGTTGCAGAAAGCGGGGTCTTCTGCCCTGTGGCACTGCGAGGTATCATAATAATACTAACCTTTGCATGTAATACATGTAATACAGTACCTTTCACACGGGGAGGGCAGCACAAAGCGCTTCATAGGATTTACTATAGTGACTGTTATGTAGGCGAATGCGGCAGACTATTTGCGCACAGCGAAGTCGTACAAAGAGCGACAAATTGAACGATCAATTTTATTTTGGGGATTGTTGGCCAGGCTACCGGGAGAGTGAAATTCCCTTCTCCTCCAATAGTGCCGCGGGATCTTTAATGTCCACCTGAACAGGCACAGACCCTGGTGGGGGTGGGGTCACTCCCCTGGGGTGATGAGGGAGGGGGGCTACGAGTTGCCTGGGATCAGCAGCCTCGGCCTCACTGACCTCAGTCTCATTCCAATACGGTTAACCCAATGCGGCACTCTGTGTTCGAGGAAGGCATGTCCACCCGCAGCACTTATTCTGTGTGTATTTGTAACCTGTTGTGCCCCCCGGGGCTGTGTGTTTCTTTTCCTCTTGTTTTTCTGTGTGACGGTGCAAATGGCAGATCAGCACTTGGACATGTACAGCTCAAGGGGTGGCAGTGTGGCAGAGCTGCAGATAATGGCTTATACCCAGAGGACCACCGTGACACACAAGTGTCCGCTTCCAACTCGAGAGCAACTCGAGTGCACTGAGTGCCCACAGGCAGCATCTGCAGTGAAGCGCTGAAGAGAAAGGTAACTGGTAGCCAGACATGTGGCTTAGAGGGCAGAGGCCTGGAGACTGGGTGGAGTGGCTGATGTCAGCAGTCGGACAGACTCCTGAATGGTGCTTTTTATTTGTGGAAGTGGTCAGCCGGGTGTCTGTCACATGCGGAAACTCATCACCATGCTTAAGAGTATCCAAACCCAAGCTGAGATTTCCGTGCATCCCACCTACACATGGAAATTACAGAGAGAGATTGCTGGAATGGAATGCGCACTCTCTCCCTGGAGAGACACATCCTGTTTACCTAATTCCAAAAAGTGTTAGGCGCAGGTTGGCAAGAGCCAAGGCTTGGGGACCCCAAAAGCATAGCTTGCCATTGATAGTGCTGTCTGGCAAGCTTTCCCGCTGCTTGTCCAGCTAGGACCACCCTACACGTTAGGGCTTTGGCTTGCAGGGTTAACAGGAGCTGAGTGGGATGACTCCCTGCTCCCGTTGACTGGTCTGCCCTTCCAGGTCCTGCTGATGAGCCAGGACTTGTGCTGTTATCAGCAATGCCCTGGAATACTGTGGACCCGCCTGGCTCAGGAATCGGACTAGAGACCGTCACAGAGGGCCGGCTCGATTCCGATATTGCCAGGCATCTTTGAACTTTGAGCCAGTTCAGCTGCAAGGAGACCCCAGTGTAACAATAGTCAAACAAACCAGAGGTGCACTACCCCCCAAGTCACTCAGGTCACATTACCCCCTCCCCCACACACCGGGGCAGAGGGTATACTCGCAACATTGGAATCATGGAACAAGAAGAGGCCATTCAGCCAATCAAGCCTGTTCCACAAGTTTATCAGATCTGGTCACATATTTTAATCCCAATGCCCTGCTCTTCCTCCATATCTTCGCCTTAATTCCTCCACTACCCAACCACGTGTCTCTCTCTCTCTTACACCCTATTGATTCCTGGGACCTCTGGAGAGTTGCGCATCTTCATGACCCTCAACATGAAGAAATGCTTCCTGACCTCAGCTCTCACCTGAGTCTGAGTTTAGGGTTCTCCCCACATGTATTGCACCTATTTACCAGAGAAGAGTCATCTATTTTCTAACCTGTTGATTCTTTTCATTACAGTATTTTAATACCTCAGTTGAATCATCACTTAATCTCCTTTATTCTAAGTAATATAACCCCAGTCTATACTGATTCTCATCACAGGTAAACCTATTCAACCAGGTACTTATCTAGGCAGCCACATGAATACATAGCTGCTACCTGAGCTAGTGTCAGCCTGACTCAGTAGGTGTCCCTCTCGCCTCTTGAGTCACAAGATGGCGCGTTCAAGTCACACGTCAGGAACTGGAACTGACAGTCCAGGCTGCAACTCCAATACAGTGCTGGTTTGTGGGGGAGAAGAGAGTAGGGGGGTGCACTGTTGAAGGTGCCGTCATTTGGATGAGATGTTTAAATGAAGGCTCTGTCTGTTCCTGTTCAAGATGACATTAAAGATCCTGTGGCACTACTAAAATAGACAAGGGAGTTACTCTCTCCTGATGTCCTGGCCAAAAATCCAGCAGATAAAATTGATCATGTACTTCATGCTGTTTATGGGACGCTGCTTTACACGAGCTGGCTGCTGAATTCGCCTACAAAATACAGTCAACACACATCACAGTATCATCTTGTGAAGTACTTTGAGACAACCTGTTAAGTCGCTTATCAAATGCAAGGATTAATAATAATAATCCTTGCATTGGATATAGCGCTTTTGATGTCTTCTAGAATCTTAAAGCGCTTCACAGAATATGCTGTAAAGTGAATTGACTGTATATTTGTGTGCGAAACGCGGCAGCCAATTGCACGCAGGAGAGTCCCACAAACAGTCGTGGATTGAAAATGACCAATTTATTATTGTTTTGTTTTGGAGGGATTATTATTAGGTGTGTGGAATAAGGAAACTTGCCCACCGTTTCGCCCTGCCTAGAATTGAACCCAGGTGCCTCGCTTGCAAGGCGAGTGCTCTAACCACTGAGCTACAGGATTATTATAGCCCAGTTATTAGTCTGGTGAACCATGACTGTATATCCTTCCTAAGAATGAGTGTCTAAACCTGAACCACAGCGAAGTGCGAGAAGACCGTGTCTAACCGCAGAAGGAGCTTGTACTTTAGATTCCTTGTGATGAAGGCCAACAACCCATTAGCCCATTTGACTCCGTTCTTCACCTGAGAAGATTTTAATGATCGATGGATGTGAATACCTAGATCTCTCATCTCCCCTCCTCATGTTTCCCAATCCACAACCATAGCCAATCTCTCCTTAACTATAGCCACAGCCAATCCCGCCATAATCCAGGAAGATTGTTTCTCATCTTTGTTTTTTAAAAAAAATTAAAAAGGAGGGAAATTGAGTTTAGGATTGGTCTGGTTTTGGTGGGCATTTAACTGTGGAGACAGATTTTACACAGATGCGACATTGACAATGACACTGAGAGATGACCCAGTTGACAGTGTGGTCGCGGCAGCATGACACTCCTTCCTCGGTCTACGTTTCTGTTCCTCCTCAGCAATCCTAGCTGGGTCACAATGGTTATAGTTGCTGTTTTGGGAGTCTGGAGTCATCTGTTCGGCACAATGATCAGTCCAGCCAACCGGTTAATAACCAGAGCTTTAGTACTTCTGCACCCCGATTGTGAGAGAACAAATGCATTGGTTTTACCATCATCCCAGTGAATCTGATGGATTTTGCATAAGGAACATTGATAGAAATGCTCAAGAGACTCAAGACGCCTTCTGTAAGGAACCTAGAGCCATAGAGCAATGAACTAGACTTGTAAACCACGATCTTCATCGACGCATCCAGTCCTTTTTCATTGAAGACACGGCTCTCAAGACAGCCAAAAGATCCTATTAATGTGACGATGAATCTCCACATGGCTGTTCCTATTCTTTGATAGACAACTACCAAGGTTTACGAAGTGGACGATATTCACCACTGATGGAGAAGCTGCAGTGCCAGGTGCATGTTGGTAAAGGCTTTAGTTTTGGAAACATTAATAGAGTCCGTAAGGACTGCTTACTGGAGATCGATCATGATGAGGAATTTGGTCTTTGCCTGTACGTGCCTTAGGTTGAGAAGTTTTCCATTTAGTCAGTACTTGATTTCCACGCCACCGGAGATTGGATAGTAGCTCGGAATAGAAAAACTGCAAGGAAAATAGCAAAAAGGCTCGTTGTAATGAGCCATTCTTGTTTTACTTCAGTTTCAGTAGGGAAGGGTTCAGACTGAGACTCACTGTACATTAACCTTCCTTTCATGCTGTCGTGAAAGCGCTGAGAGGGGCTCTGAGAGGGGCTCTGAGAGGGGAGCTATCTAAATACATGTTGTTGTGAAGTTGTCTGACAACTGAGGTAAATTTTGGGGGGCAATCAAACTGGCAGAGAGTTTTCCGCAGAGCCTTCTGTTCACTGAATCATTTGTCTCCCTCCGTAAAGTGGCTAAACGCCATAGATAGATCATGGTGCTGCTCATGACATTTTCCTGTTGCTGGCGTGCTGCAAATATCAGGTCACTGGTCTGCACCCAGTCTGGGCTCTGGGATTCCTAATCTAGAACACATTCCCAACCACTATTCTTCCAGGCCAGGCACTATGTCACAGTTTGCAATGTTAAACTTCATCTGTAAAACTCCACCTTAAACAAAAGGCAAAATACTGCAGATGCTGGAAATCTGAAATAAAAACAGAAGTGGCTGGGAACACTCCAGCCGGGACTTTAACGGTCTACCCATCTGCACACTGACGTTACCTGGTATCACTGTGGTAATAAAACGACGGATTATTGAAACGCACCTTTTCTCCTAATGGGCAGTAGCCCTTGAGGAAGTCGGGACAGACCGCAGCTTTCCTGGACACGTACACGTGACTGTAGGGGCAGTTACTGTTGCTGCAGATCCCTCGCAGGAAGTAGGAACAGACCGGCATCTGCAGAGATCAGTGGGAACAAAGGAACTTTCAGCTAATTCCACGCAGAACAACAAATTACATTTCTATAGTGCATTTCATGACAGGAAGACATCCCAAGGATGAGCAGTCATGGATTTGGATCCATTGAGGTAGAGGGCAGGGACGGTGGGGATAGGAGAGTGACCGTAGCGCAGTCGAAGAGGTTCTCAATACGTGTCTTGAAGGAGGCAAGGGAAGGAGAGCAAGGCGAAGGGATTGTGTGATGGAGTTCCAAAGAGTGGGGTCAGAGAGGCTGAAGCTGCAACCACCGATGGTGGGGTGGATAGGCTGGGCGACATGGAGCAGGTCAGAGCCTTCTGAGCAGAGAGGTTGATATGGGGTCAACGGGTCACAGAGGTAGGAAGGAGCAAGGACGTGGAGGGCTTTGAAGGCTTTGAAGCAGCCCACACTCGCCCCACTGACCATTATTTATGTGGGAACCTTTCACAGCAAGAACCCATGAGAGGGGATCAGTGTGGGTCTGAGCCTGTCTGCACCCGATGCCCAGCAGCAATGTGATTCCCCTCTCGAGCTGCTGCCCCTGGCTTAGTACACAGAGGTTCACCATTAACTTTGTGCCACCGATGATTTTAATGCAACTTCATATCCGCTCATCCTACTGAACGCATTATCAGGTGCCAATGCCTGAGAGTACCCTGAAAGCCATTGCCGGCATCTCAATCACACAGACTCCCTCCCAAATACAATGAAAGGTTATATTAAAAAGAAACAGTGCTGCTTTCACAGCCTTTTTATATTAAAAATAAATGAAGATTCAAAGCACATCAGAGGCAGAATGGGTGACCTGCATTCAGTTATTCGCTTAATTTTCTATTCCTGTTTCACAACAGCTTTCACTGTAGAAGATAGAAAAGGAAAGAAGGGGGAAAGGAGTGACTTGTAGTTATTTCCAACAGGATCCCTTAATAAGCTGCCCAAACAGGGACTCCTATCAGGAACCAGAAATCTGTCATAGCAACTCCACCAACTCACAGCAACTCCACTCTGACACCCAGAGCAATGTGCCAGGGCAGGCATTCACTCCCGGATCACAGCCTGACTACTGGTTGGTGATCACACACAGCCTGACGCCTTTTTGTGAAACAAACAACCCAGAGTGACGGAACAATCCCGCTAGCTGACGTCTAAATCGGGTTTTAATAAATAATAATGGTAATTGCATATGATATAGAGCTTATGACCTTGTTGAGGTGTCTCAAAGCACTTCACAGAATATATTGTAAAATGGAGTGACTGTGTATTTCTTGGGCAAAACGCGGTAGCCAACTGTGCACAGCAGTGTCCCACAAACAGTCGTGGATTGAGTGAACAATTTTTTTGAGGGATTATTACCCCCGGAACGCAACCCACCAATCGACTACTTACTGCGAGGTAAACATAGTAGTGTGTGTGTGGAGTAAGGAAACTTGCCTAAGGTTTCACCCCATCCGGGAATCAAACCGGGCCCTCTCACTTGTGAGGCGAGCGCGCTAACCACTACACTACAGAACTCCATCGGTCTTAGATCCTGAGATTTCTGAGCTGGTTCCTTGGGGGTGGTTGTGGAGTAAATGGCCAATAAGTAACAGGAGAATTTAAAGGTGTGCAAGGAGCCTGATCACAGTAAAGCAATGACTGGGGAATGCAGTGGCAGGTGCTTTGTGGCACCAGAGGACTGAATGTTAGTAAATGGGATTCCAATCTCAAAGGTTGATCAGAGAATGAGCTTGGCAATTACAGGCCGTTTCCCCTGATATTTGTAATGGAAAAATAGCCGAGTCTATTATAAAGGAAGAACTCTAGACCATTCAGTGAGGAAAGGCAATAAATCCAAGCTAGTCGACATCTGAGAAAGACAGGTCGTGTCCAACTAACTGAGTGCAATTCTTTGGGGATATAATGAAGTCGGTGAAGGAGGGCAGGTCGGTGGATATTGCACTTGACCTTCAGAAAGCAGCTGGTGAGGACCCTGCTTGGAGACTCGCTGACATTGTGTAACACTCTCTCCTCTGTGTCACAGGCTGTGGCTTCAAGTCTCACCTCAGAACCTGAGCTCCCAAGCTGGGCTGACACAACAACGCAGCGCTGTCTCAAGCCCTCCATGGCCTTGCTCCTTTCTACCTCTGTGACCTACTAACCCTATATCAATCTGTCCGCTTCTCCGCTCAGTGGGCTCTGGCCTGCACCACGTCCCGTAGTTGAGGGGGGGTTAGTTGAAGGGGGGTTTGTATAGCGCCTTTCATGGGTTAGTCCCTCGTCCCCTCCGCTGCACCATTGGCAACCGTGCTTCCAGCCACTACGCCCCAAAACTCTGGAACTCTCTCCCTCAATCCTGCCTAAAGACCTTCCTATTTGATCGTGCTTACGGTCACATTCCCCCCTCCCTCTGCCCCGGCTCAATGTCAGACTCTGTTACTGTCAAGCGCTCCAAGACGCTACCCCGTGTGAAGGGCGCTATATAAACGCAAGTTGTTGTTGTTGATTGCAGGTTCTGGCATGGCTCAGTTGGCAGCACTCTGAGGCAGGAGGTTATGGGTTCAGGCCCCATGTGAGAAATTTTGATCTCTTGAGAGGCTGATACTCCAGTGCAATGCTGGGGGAGTGCTGGAGGTGCTGCCCTTTCGATGACATGTTAAACTGTTCAAGTGGACATTACAACTTGTTGCTCACTACCTTTTTCCCCCGACCATCGGTGCCCCCAGCTCTATGGCATTCTTCCTCAAAATCTCTTTGTTTTCTCTCCTCTATCAAATACTGGTACAAACTGTTGTCTTTTGACTGTTCATTTGATCGACACCCTTTAAATTCTCCTTTCTCTCCTCCCTGCTAGCTACCCCCATCAGCTCTGTGAAGTGCTCGGAGACATACATCCTATGTGAAAGGTGCTAAATAAATGCATCTTTTTGATTAGCAAAAGTAGACAAGAAAGCACCTCCTCTTATAGATAACAGCTTGAAGCCTGTACGGAATTTCCTAGAATTAAGATGCAACCTAACTGTTATTTCAATTAACCTGCGTTACACCCCAGTGCACCTCCATACCAAATGTGAGGAAACTGCCTGCACGTACAATGAGCACTGAGGCATCCCTCCCCATTATATAGCGTTTATACAAGGGAATCCGATGTGAAGACTAATGAAGCTGAACACAACACAAGGTCCTAAACTGCACACAACTGAATTTTCAAGCTCTATTACAGGGGAAAGTGCTGATTCTTCACAACCAAGGATACACAGCGTAGCAGCGGTGGACCATGGCTCTGCCTGCATTAACCTGCAAAGCAAGCACACCCAGCCACATTTGCAGCTCCTCAACTCACTGTCTGAATCTCTGAATTCTGTACACAGCTGGAGACTAGGCTTGTCTATGTACCTAGCTGCCATTTAGAATTATCAGTCTTTACACGGATCATTGAACGATCATCGCAAAAGGAATTAAAAGGGAGGTTTCCCCCACAAAATACACAGTCAATTCACTTTATGGTACTGTGTATTCTGTGAAGCGCTTTGGAACATCTCAAAGAAGTGATACGGTACTATGTAATAATAATAATCCTTGCATTTGATATATATATACTGCGAGGTAAACAGAGGTGTGTGAAGTAAGGAAACTTGCGTAACGCTTCTTCCTGCCTGGAAATCGAACCCATGTCCTCTCGCTTGAGAGGCGAGTGCTCTAACTACTGAGCTACAGGACACCCCAACTCATTCCGGGGCATGTGGAGTAACTGTCTTTTTGGAGGCAAATGCAGCAGTCACTTTATACACAAGCTGCACATACAGCGGTGAGGTAAATGCCCCGTGGATCGGGATTGTCGCTGACCAGGATTCTAGGTGTTATATGGTTACATGATCTTGTTAACACGTGGCCACAACCTGAGCCCAAAGCTCCTCATGTCCTTTGAAGCAGTTCATTGGCCACAATTCTGTCTCCTGGTAAATGAGTTAAAAGTCAAGTGAGAAACAAGATCCTCATGGAATCTTCACTCCAGGGGTTCGAGTACAATCTGTCTATTCCCTTACTACCCCCGTTACACTCTGTCCCTCCCTCCCTCTCCTTCCTGTTAGAGATCCGCCAATCAACTAACAACCGTGTTCCTACTTACTGCTAGATAAACAGAGGCGTGTGGAGTAAGGAAACTTGCCTAACATTTCGCCTTGCCGGGAATCAAACCCGGGTCCTCTTGCTTGCGAGTGCTCTAACCACTAAACCACAGGACTCCACGTGAGACAGTGAGACTGAAGAAATCACAAAAGCAAAGCATCACCATTCTATCCTGTTAGGTCAATAGGGGACAGTGATAGAGCTAAATCACACACTATAGGAACGGTGATAGAGGATCACTACAGGAGAGAACATCATTTAAAAAAATAAAATAATGCAGCATGGTCTATAATAATAATAATTCTTGCATTTGATATCCTCGTGGATTGGTTGACCAAATTATTTTTACGGGAGGTGGGGGAGCCCAATCTCAGCAAAGTAAGGATTCAGCCCCGTCGAAAGGAACATCCTCTCACAAAGAGAAACAGCTCACCTTGTCTTTCGAGACTTTGTGGGAGAAGGGGCAGGTTCCGTCTGTCTGCTTACACGTGCCCCGCAGGAACCTGGCGGAGAGAAGCCAAAGTGTTAGTCATGGGCTGCGTGAGGAGGAGACACTGAGACACTGTTATATAATAATACATACATTTGAAATCAGGCCTGATCACATCTTCAAAGCATCTCAAAGAACTTCACAAGATCTCAAGTCCCTTTACAGGAAGCTTTATTGGCTCTTAAAAAGGAACGTGCATTTTTATTTTTATAGCTGCTTATGTCAAATATCTCAAAGCACTTTATCATGTGTGTAGTGATAGTGTACTCTAGACAAACACAGGAGCTATTTTGACACAGTAACGTCCCAGAAACAGCTTTAAATTCAGGGTCCTGATTCTAGAAGATTGCTGGCCAGAACACCAGGAGAAACTCGAGTGCTGTGGAATGGAGTTCCAAAGGGTGGGGGCAAAGAGGCTGAAGGCCCGACCGCTTTTTCATTTTTCAGTTTTAAAACTATTTTGTGGCCACCATCTGGTGAAGAAGCATGACATGCGCCATTCGGAAGTTTGCCTAATTGACAGTAACGTTCCGTCCCAACAACAAACAGGTCACACTGAGCAGTGGGCTCGACCGTACCTTGTGCACACAGCTACCTTCTCAGGGTCGTGGATGTAGGGACACTTCTCTCCGCGATTACATTTCCCAAAGCGGTTGTAGTACATACAGTACTCCTTCTTTTTGGATCTCCTCTGCTTGGCCTGTCGGATTATGGCCAGGCTGCGCTGGACGGCACGGCTGTGGGTACATATTGTAAAATTAAAATGAACATTTAACCTACTCTCTTTTGACAGCACTTTCGCTCAGCTTTCCCCTGCTCGGGCCAGCATTGTTAGCACTTCAGGACATCATCCTGACATGAGAGGCCTGTATACATTTAATTGTATTGTACTATATTCCTTTAGAGACTCCAGAGTATGAGATCCAGAACTACATGCAAGAAAATCACTAACTCCTCCCTCCCCAGTGAGCTCCTGACCTCAATCATAAAATATCATACAGGTGAGAGGTGAGGGTCAGTGAGCACCTCTGGGGTGCTGGACTGCGCACCTCTTCATCACGGGGTTAGAGGCAGAAGCCTGGCTGGAGATGTTTGTGAAAGATCTGCAGCGCACAGGGCCACTTTGAGTGGACAGTTCCTCAGCTCCCAGTCTTGTGCCAAACTCTGCCCTCCTGTAGGACATAAGCTGGTAAAGGCACGTCCCAGCGCAGCCCCGATCAGGTCACGCACCCAGACTCTGCTCTGTGGTGAGTGCTCGATGGCCAGCCAGTGGTTTGGGCTACAATTGGCCACTGAGTTGGGGAAAGGGGAAAATAAACAGTAAGGGTTTCCACACCGGACTGCTATCCACAGAGTAGCATGGCGACAGGTGGGCTGGCGGGAAAGGTTCAGAGCTTGGGTGTGACCAGGTCCCATGGCTCACACATGGGGAAAGGTATCTGGTCACTCAGGCCATGAGGACATGCGGTCAAACTGCTTTCAGGAGGGGAGGCATTGTGGGAAAAGGCACACTTTCAGAACATTCCTGAACCGAAGGCCGAGGGAGGAGCGTTACTGACCTGGCGATGTAGCGAGGTGTCAGCGGCCTGGCCAGGCTGCTGGGGAAGTAACAGTCAGCACCATCAGGATCAGCCTGGGAGCTACCTGTCAGGAGAAACACACACACACGCACACAGAGTCAGCCTGCATACTCACTGCCAGGAGAAACACACACAGATGCACACACACGCACTCAGAATCAGCCTGGGACTTCAACAACAACATGCACTTATATAGCACCCTTCACCCAGGATGGCATTTCGGAGTGCCTAAACCACTGCCAGGAGACGTATACACAAACAGAGAGAATCAGCCTGGAACCTCACTGCCAGGATACCCACACACACGGGAATCAGCCTCACTGCCAGAAGACATCGTCACACATAAACGGCCTGGGAGCTCATTGCCAGGAGACACACACACACACACACACACAGCCTGGGTCCTCACTGTTAGGAGACACACACAAACAAAACGTCAGTGGGGGGGGTGAAGTGTGTTTCTGGCTTCAACTGCTCAGCGACTAGTGATCGCAGTTTAGTGCAACATCAGGCTCGAGCAGCTCATGAACTTTATGAGCTCATAAACTGGGCTTGTTCACACTGAAGAAGAGAAGGTTGAGGGGCATATGATTATGGTCTTGATATAGCGCCTCATCACGTCTCAAAGAGCTTCACCAAATATATTATAAAGTGGATTGACTGTGTATTTTGCGGGCAAAACAACCTTCTGATACGGAATCGAGTGCGACCAAGCGAGCCAAGTTGCCACACTATTCTAATTCCCTTTTATAATAATTTATCGACTTTTCTATGGTTTGTGACATAGAATTCAACATTATATCACCTTATGGGAAGATATTCTTTACCTCCTCTTCTTTCATATAAAAACTATATTGCAGCGATTGAGAGGATACAGAGGAGAGCAACCAAAATGATTGAGGGGATGGAGGGACTGGATTATGAGCAGTGATTAGATAAACTGGGCATATTCACTCTGGAGAGGAGAAGGTTGAGGGGCGATATGATTACAGTCTTTAAGATTCTGAAGGGAATAGATAATGTAGACCATGATAAGCTGTTTTATCTTGTACTGAACAGTAGAACCAGAGGACATGGCCTGCGATTGAGGGGCAAGTAAATTCAGAACAAATCTGCGAAAACACTACTTCAGTGAGAATGTAATAAACATATGAAACAGGCTCCCTAGGGAGACAGTGGAAGCAGAAAATGTTGTTTGTTTCAAGACCAAGTTAGATAGATTTCTGCTAGAAAATAATATCTGGCTAACTGGTATATAGTTTGGAACACGACAGTCAAGCGACTGCCAGGATGATGGAAAGTGAACTAGATGAACCTTGGTCTTCTTTCGCCTAGCAAATTCTTATGTTCTTATCTCATGAGCTGAGAACGTGGATCTTAAGTGTAATCTGGACTCAGTTGTAGCACTCTGCCCGCTAAATCAGAATACTGTGAGTTCAAGCTCTTTGTTGGGACTTGAGTCACAGTCCAGGCTGACGCCAGCACAGTTATCAGGGTAGAAATGCATTGTTGGAGGTGGCATCGTTTGAGTGAGACGTTAAATTGAGGCCCGGCTGCCTGATTCACAGTGGATGTTAAAGATGCCATGGCAGTAATTGAAAAGAAAAGGCAGGAGTTCCCCACAGTGCTTTCTGTCTTGTTGTTAGCAAAATGGCCACTTATTTGCCTACAAAAAAGTCATTCCATCACAACAATTACTAGGAAGCATTTTAAGACGTTGCAATTTTTCAAGTGCTATAAAAACGTATGAAACGCCTGTTTATCTAACAGTAAGTAGGAACCTGCTTGTTAATGGATTGGCGGATCGCTTTCTGGGGTAATAATCCTGACAAAAAAAATAAGAATAATTTGGTCACTCAATCCATGACTGTTTGTGGGACACTACTGTACGCAATTGACTGCCACGTTTTGCCCACGTATAGTCGCAATTACAGTATGTACTGTGAAGTACTTTGAGATGTCTTGAAGACATGATAAGGCGCTATATCAAATGCAAGGATTATTATTATTATAATAGTTTCAATCATTGAAATACAGGAAGCGAAGAGAGCAACAAGCGACTGAGAGCTGCGGTAAGAGGACAAACACGCAGCCGTTTGCACATGGCTGAAACCCCAGGCATTCAGTGCACGCGAGTGAGAGGGACAGGTATTAGCACTAAAGCTCACTTGTCCTGACACGCTCCTCCCACCCACTCAGCTCAGCGATTGCAATCCCACTGTTGAGAGAGATTTTACACAGCCCACAGAGCAGAGACTGGAACAGACAAACAAAGGGGAGGAAGCCATCACAGAAACTGACAGTGGATTCCGGCTGCAGATTGAAGGAGGAGGATTTGATTGCTGAGGAACACCCGCTTGGTTGACTGGAGGCATCACTGATTCTGTCGTTGTCAACCTGGCTGCCATCTGTCCAAACCTGTCATTACTGGCAGAGGTGGACCAACTGCAACGTGTTACACACACACATACACATACACACACACACACACACACAGGCAGGACATAGCGCAGGCTGAGAGCTGAGCAGGCTCAACGAGTGGAGAGGCTGGACCTATGTCCAGTTCATGAGTGGTGTGTCACAGGACCATAACACAGAAGTCTGCAGTGCAGAAGGAGCCATTCGACGCATCAAGCCTGCACCGCTCACACAGCAAACAGTACAGACAGATTAATGGAGTCAACAAAGACAACAGGCCATTTGACCAGTCAAGCCAACGCTCTGAGTCATCCAATACAGAGGAACAATGATTTAGGGGAAAAGAATGCCTTGGCAAGTAAGGCAAAGACAAGAGATGGTAAGGGAAGGGGGAAAGATGATCGAAGGTGCGATGATGTGGTCAAAGGGTCAGTAGCTGGAATTCATGCGCTGCACTGCTTGAGAGTCAGAACAGACACTATGGACTCACAGTCAGAATGTGTGGTTTGCACCCACAATAATAATCCTTGCATTATCACGTCTCAAATAGCTTCACCGAATATATTATAAAGTGGATTGACTGTGTATTTTGCGGGCAAAACAACCTTCTGATACGGAGTCGAGTGCGACCAAGCGAGCCAAGTTGCCACACTATTCTAATTCCCTTTTATATTAATTTATCAACTTTTCTATGGTTTGTGACCTAGAATTCCACATCATACCATCTCATGGGAAGATATTCTTTAACCTACTCTTCTTTCATATAAGAACTATATTGCAGCGATTGAGAGGATACAGAGGAGAGCAACCAAAATGATTGAGGGGATGGAAGGACTGGATTATGAGGAGCAATTAGATAAACTGGGCATATTCACTCTGGAGAAGAGAAGGTTGAGGGGCGATATGATTACAGTCTTTAAGATTCTGAAGGGAATAGATAATGTAGACCATGATAAGCTGTTTTATCTTGTACTGAAACAGTAGAACCAGAGGACACGGCCTGCGATTGAAGGCGGGTAAATTCAGAACAAATCTGAGGAAACACTACTTCAGTGAGCGAATGTAAATGTATGGAACAGGCTCCCTAGGGAGACAGTGGAACCAGAAAATATTGTTTGTTTCAAGAACAAATTAGATAGATTTCGGCGAGAAAATAATAACTTGGATACATTATATAGTTTGGGACACGACATGTCAAGCAATGCCAGGATGGTGAACTAGATGGTCTTCTTTCACCTAGCAAACTCTTATGTTCTTCTTAATGTTTGTGATTCTCAAATTGTGTGTTGAGGGACAGAGGAAGGTGCTTGTGAGGTTGCAGTAGGCGCAGAGGTAAAGTTTGGGCTGATATGTTAACACTGCTCATCTTCCCAGGCTTCACCTGAGTATTGCAGCTGCCGGCCTTATGAGCAATAGAAAGACTTACGTCTACCTTTAGCACAATTCAAAAGTGAGAGAACCTTTTGAAGAAGTGATAGTAATGGGTGAACAGATTCCTAGCTCTCAGAGCTCCAGAACTCTCTCCTTTATTCTTGTATTTCCACAACTTACTTCAGCACAATCATTTCATTTAAAAATACTACTGACGTCACTCTTAGACTATCACAGTGAGCTAGCTCCCTGAGCTCTGCAGTGTTTAACTCTCTCTCCGCACATCCCTGAGCTGCACCGTGTTTAACTCTCTCTCTCTCTTCACACATCCCTCAGCTCCTCAATGTTTAATTCTCTCTCTCTGTCTCCACACATCCCTGAGCACTGCAGTGTTTAACTTTCTCTCTCTGTCTCCACATCCCTGAGCACCGCAGTGTTTAACTCTCTCACTCTCTCCGCACATCCCTCAGCTCCTCAATGTTTAACTACATCCCTGAGCTGTGCAATGCTTAATGCCCCCTTTTTCTCTCTCTCTCACTTTCTCTCCAGACACACATCCCTGAGCTCCGCAGTGATCATCGTGTTACATGGGCTCACAATGCCTAGCAGCTCAGACCCATTTACAAAATGAACAGTTGCACTAGTTAGAAAGTGACTCAGTACATATCATATAATTACACCTGGCATATCATTTCAAAGCACTGGGGGAATGATAAAAATGGCACAAAGGTATTTAGGGAACAAATATATAAATTGTTAAATGCTAGCTTGTGGATCCAGAAGGCAATCAAAATATCTAATGGGCTGCTACTCTTTACAATAAACTCTGGAATATAAAAGCAAGGAAGTGCACTGCTTGTACTGAATGCCCAAACTTCCACCCTGCCCTCGGAGTGTGTCCAGCAACTAATCACTGTACATTATTACCTGGGATGAAGGGAGGTAACTGTGATGAGGGGATGGGTAAACCGGGGTTATACTCTCTTACAGCTGAGAAGGTTAAGGGTTGAGCTGACTTTAAATCTTTAAAACTGTCTTTACATAATGAAAATAATTGGTAAGTGGACTTATACTCCTCCTGATCCCAACCCCCAGCTCGGGTGCGGATCCCTGACTGTCCAGCGCCTTGGGACGTCCTCCTGACTTGGAATGCTCTATACAAATGTAATCAATTCTTTCTTGCACATAAAAGCAAATCACAGAGGACATCACAAACAATGGCAATAATAATCACTGCAACAAAAACAGAAGTCGCTGGGAACACTCAGCAGGTCAGGTAGAATATCAAATGCGGAGATAATAATTTCCCCATTTGATATTGTGCCTTTCTCACATCAGGAGGCATCTCACAAAATTTAGTGTGTCAGCCCAGCTCGGTGCTTGTCAGCATTGTTAGGTGCGTTCCTTCAGATGAGATGTTAAATTGAGGTCTCGTCTGCCTGTTCAGGTGGATGTTAGAGATCAAAAGGCACTATTCAATGTGGGACACTGCTATGCACAATTGTGCTGCCATGCTTGCATACAAATACAGTCACTCCATTTCAAAGTAAATCCTGCGAAGTGCTTTGAGACATCCTTCGAACGTTATAAGGCGTTATATCAAATGCAAGGATTATTATTATTATTATCATCTCGAGAGCCCAGCCGATGCCCCACTAGGCTGCCAAGTGAAGATGGATCACTTGGGCAGAGTACTTAGAGCCATAGGCATTTTGCCATTAACATTTAGCCCCAAAATATACAGTCAATTCACTTTACAGCATATTCTGTGAAGTGCTTTGAGATGTCTCGAAGACGTGATTAGGTGCTATATCAAATTATTACTATTATTATTATAGGCATGATGATTCCACATCCTCAGAGGGAGAGACCCAACAAAGCCGAGGGGGGGGGGAGGGCGGGATGGGGGAGAGGGGGAGGGTGGGATGAGGGGGGGGTAAATCCCCCTTTACACTCAGCTCTCCTACCTGATGGTGTGGGAGTCCTCGTGCCCCCGAGGGCGAGTTTGCTGGCAAGGCCGGGGCTTTTGGACAGCTTGTTGGCAGACACTCGGTACAGCACCCCACCGATACAGCGAATGCCTTTGCTTTTCCATTGCTGCTGAAGAAGCCTGGAGTTGCTGAAGAGTCGTGCTCGGGTTAGGAGTTGCGACCTGGCGAGGAATGGAGAGGGAAGGGGAGAAAGGAGAGGAGAGTGGAGAGGAGAGGGGATTGTAGGATTGGAGAGAGTGGAGGGAGGGGATGGGAGGAGTGAGTGGAATGGAGTGACGGGAAGGGAGAGGAGAAAGGGGAGGAAAGAGGGGAGGGAGGGGATGGGAGGAGTGGACAGGGGAGAGGGGAGGGAAGAGGAGGGGAACAGAAAGGAGGGGATGAGTGGAGGAGAGGGGAGAGCGGAGAGGAGAGAAAAAGGGGAGGGAGAGGAGAGGGGAGTAGGAGAGTAGAGGGGAGAAGAGAAGAGAAGAGAGAAGGCAAACACGAGGAGGAGGGAAGGAGAGGAGGAGGGGAGAGAGGAGAGTTTTAAATGTGATGGTCTGGCTATGCATTCCCAGAGCCAGTGCTTTATTCGGGTACAGTAACACAGTCACTCATACAATCACTGCCCTCAGTGCAATACTAAGGCTCAGCTGCTCTGTGATTTCAGTACTGTTTTACCTTTTAGAATCCAGGCCGTATATTGGGAGTTGAGCTCCAGTACAGTGCTGGGACCCTCCACTGCTGTACTCTGGATGAGACTTTAAAGCGAGCTCCTATCTGTCTGTTTATGTGAGCATTGAAGACAGTGTGATCCTATTCATAAAGAGAAGGGAGTTTCTCTCTCCTGGTTTCCTGGCCAACAATCCCACAGATAAATTGGTCATTCACTTCCAGCAGTTACCGCAGCGTACACTGTGGGGTCCCCAAGCCTTGGCTCTTACCAACCTGCGCCTAATACTTTCCGGAATTAGGTAAGCAGGATGCATCCCTCCAGGGAGAGAGTGCGCATTCCATTCCAATAACCTATCTCTGGGATTTCCATGTGTAGGTGGGATGCATGGAAATCTCAGCTTGGTTTGGAGACTGTTAAGCATTGGTAATAGGTTTCCACATGTGTTAAACACCCGGCCGAGCAAACAAAAACCTTCCTGGGTGTTTGCAGGATCTTATCAAACACTTTGAAGGACTTTTGAGGCGTTTCAATTTTCTATGTTCTATAAAGATGTGAGTTATTTCCTCTTGTTGTCCAGAGCAGTGAGTGGGGTTTCAGTGCTGGTTCAGAAGAACTGAGAGAGAACACACCAAGGTGATGGTTGGGTGATTCAGGACCAACATGGATTTTAACATCTGCAGATTGCTGGAAGATAGGAACCTGTGAGGAGCACCGAGGAGGTATCAGCGAGCTTGAAAGAGCAGATGTGAGGAATAATTTCAGCCCCCCATCATCCATTTACTGCTGCTATGATCAAAGGACATTTTACAGTAAATCCTGTGAAGAGTGTGAGCCGTTCCCCCAAAGTGAAATAATAATAAGGCTTGCCTTTGATATAATACCTTATCACATCTTCGAGATGTCTCAAAATGCTTCAGAATACACTGTAAAGTGCAGTGACTGTATATTTTGTGGGTGAAATGCAGGAGCCAATTGCATACAGCAGTGTCCAACAAACAGTCGTCGATTGAGTGACCAATTTATTTATTTTTTTCAGAAGGGATTATTACCCCTGGAAAAGCAATCCGCCAGTCGACTAACAACCGTGTTCCTACTTACTGCAAGGTAAATAGAGTTGTGTGGAGTAAGGAAATTTGCCTAAGATTTCGTCCTACCTGTGAATCAAACCCGGGTCCTCTTGCTTGCGAGGTGAGTACGCTAACCACTAAGCTACCGAAAGGTGCTATATCACATGTAAGGATTATTATTATTATTATTTACTTTACAAAGAATTCTTCAGCACAAAATGGCAAAACAGGACTGTGTGAACTCCAAAACATCTGGGGATGAAACAGCTGAGAGTAAGTTGGGCTGAGGGCATGTGGCCAGACAGGGCAGATTGATGGACATTTATTTGCCAGGTATTCCCCACAGGCCCAGCCAGCCGGAAGTGCCATCCCAGGAAGAGTATTGACTGGTCTTGAGTGATGAGTAGAGCTGAGATGGAACAGAATCTATTATTTAAGCATTAATGCGACTAATGTAATGATGTTCTTCATTTCCTGCAATACATAGTAACATGCGTTTAAGTTACTGCTCACACAGGGGAGGATAATGGATACCTCAGCCTGAGAATGACTGCAAGGCACTAATCTAATGGAAGGGTTTCAAAAGCACATTTCTCATTCCCTTAACCTTAACTTTGTCTTAAAATATTATAGCATTTGTAGGCATCTGACTATAAAAATACATAGTCACTACACTTTACAGTGAAGCACTTCGAGACATCGTCAATCTCTCTCTCTCTCTCTCTCTCTGAATCACTCTTTCTTCCCCTTCTCTCAATCACTCTGTCTCACCCTCTTTCCCTCAATCAGTCGTGTGGCTCACTATCTGCAGCGGCAGGAGCCGGCCGTTGACAAGGACGCAGTTGCCTTCCCCTCAGCTTGGGAGGGGCTTCCTGACAGACTGCAGTAATGGTCAGTATTATTTCCACTCCCCGCGCTGTGTCCTCCCAACCGCCAGTTCCTGTTGCTGCCACAAGAGGACGATTCACCAGAGAGGTAGGATGCCAGCAGCCCAAAGTTGAAAACAGTCTTGGGCCGGATTAAATCATCTGCAGGGCCGGTTGCGGCCCACGGGCCGCTCGTTGGAGCACCCTGGCCTACACAAAGGGCCTGTATAAATGCAAGTTGTTGTCTGGTTCTAATGTTTACATTATACCCTCTTGTTCTGGGTTCTGCAACCGAAGGAAAGAGTCCCTCCTTCCCCACTCTGTCAATTCCCTTTGAACTCCTGAAGGATTGTTGGTCAGGACACTGAGGGAAACTGCCCACTCATTTACACTAGTGTCATGGGATCTTTGTGGGAAGATTAAAGAGGTCCTCATCATTAACATTGCTGGTGCTGCTGTCCCTGTAAACCTATTGTGTACTAGCCCCAAAGTGACAAGGACACAATGTAGGGGTAGGTCAGTGAAGCGTCACGTCTCATTCTAAGCTGGTGTCAAACATCTCTGCTAAATTGTTCCCCTACTGCAGCGCGAACTTTGCAAGTGAACTTTGTACAAAGGCACAGAGTGTCAAGTGAATGAGATAACACAGAGGGAGCTCCCACCTGCCCTCACGCTCGTGACACAACCAGCCTGTAATTCCTTTTCCACATAAAAACGGATCGTGTGATCTAAAGGGTTTAGTTAGTAAGGCATGTTTTGGTGGGAAATTTCATTAAGGGACAAAAAGGAAAGGTATTAAGGGCACATAATGAAGGCTGGATTTTGAACACTGCCTTAAGACACCTCTCTTTGCGCAGTGTAATGGGAGGCATGAACTCCAACTTCAAATCCATTTCTAATCCATTTGAAAGACTGCAGCAAATTATCTCCCTTCAATGTGAAAGCACCAAACCAATTTCCTCAGAATAGAACTGACAATACCAGAGAATTTATCACCATAACCTTGACTCTGAGGTTGTGTAGGAAGCTGGAACCCTACACAAAGAGCATCGAAGCAGGGTCGGCGATAATAAACACAGGAGGAGATTGGCTAAAACTGATTAAAAAAGGTTTGTGGTACAGGAGAGAGAAAAAATTGTCCCAGAGCAACATGTATCTATCATTTTGCAGTTTGTGGTCAATGGCAGTCAAAGTGTATGAGGGGTTTCAATTTGTTTCACCACAGGAGTCATTAACTGTACAAATAATCTCTAATGTTTTACGATAGTCTTAGACTGGTGAGCACTAATTTTGTGTGAGGGCAGTGCAGCGGAAGGGTTCTGAACCATGAGTTGGGTTCATGCAATACACAACATCAACCAATGTAGAATCCTGTAGCTCAGTGGTTAAAGCGCTCGCCTCACAACCGAGAGGACCTGGGTTCGATTCCCGGGCAGGGCGAAACGTTGGGCAAGTTTTCTTACTCCCCAAGCCTCTGTTTACCTAGCAGTAAGTAGGAACTCGGTTGTTAGTCGATTGGCGGATCGCTTTTCCAGGGGTAATAATCCTTTTAAAAAATAATAATTTGGTCACTCAATCCACGAGTGCTTGCGGGACACTGCTGTGTACAATTGGCGGATCGCTTTTCCAGGGGTAATAATCCTTTTAAAAAATAATAATTTGGTCACTCAATCCACGAGTGCTTGCGGGACACTGCTGTGTACAATTGGCTGCCGCGTTTCACCCACAAAGTATACAGTCAATTCACTTTACAGTATATTCTGTGAAGCACTTTGAGACGTCTCGAAGACGTGATAAGGCGCAACACCAAATGTCAGGATTATTATTAATGTCCATTTATTTATATCTTAATCATAGCTTCTTATAATCTTACTACATGGGCACTTTAATAAATGGCAATTTTATACAGTAGATACACATACAGAATAAGGGAGTTTCACAAAGAAATACAGACCCCCTTTACAGGAACTATAACAGCTGTGGAACCAGTGAATCCCACATGTCATCCTAACCATCCAGCTCCTTTTAACTTCCTGATCCTTTTTAAAAGTATTTTCTCCCCTTCGCTCGAGTGCTGTAAAGCACCCTAACAGGCTTCCCCACTGGAAGGACAGGAGATAAAGGCAAGCGGGTTGTTGTTGAGAGAGCCTGCACTCAGTCCAGCAGTTTCCTCTTCACCCCAAAATTATTCCCTACTTGGTCTCATAGTTTACAAATCTTATGGAGAAGAGAAAGGTAACTGGAGTCTCCCTCAAAGAAAAAAAAATAAGAATGCAAGGCATTGCTGAGGGCAATGAGCACCGTGAGGCACACACTGACCATCATGTGGTCCTAACCGGAAAGCACAGTGTTGAGCGCTAACCATTTTTTCTCTCCCGTCACTTTCTGTTACATGGTTTAATTGCTGCATTCACTGGAACAGACTCCAAGACCATATTCTCTCCCCTCACATCTTCCAACACTTCCTTGCAAAGAGCAGAACCAGTTCCCTCACCAACAGACAGACACAGCAGTTCAACAGACACTCACTCGCTCACAAAGGTAAGCATGTGTTGGAATTCCCTCAGAAGCGT